TGCACAGACCTGGTTGAACTGCGCAGCTACCTTGGCTTGCAGATCACTCGGGACAGAGCACGCCGCACCATTACCTTGACTCAGTCACACATGGTGCAGCAGGTCCTTCAGCGCTTCGGCTTCACGTACTCCTCGCCTCAGGCCACTCCTCTGCCTACTCGCCACTCACTCTCAGCTCTGCCTTCGGATGAGTCCGTAGAGTCGAGTGGTCCGTATGCAGAGCTTGTTGGCTGCCTCATGTACCTGATGACCTGCACACGACCTGACCTTGCATACCCTCTGAGCATTCTTGCACGCTATGTTGCTCCTGGTAGACACCGACCAGAGCACATGGCTGCAGCGAAGAGGGTATTGCGCTACCTGTGCAGTACGTCGGGCATGGGGCTAGTGCTTGGAGGGCGGAGTCCAGTGGTCCTTACAGGCCACGCGGACGCTTCTTGGGCTGACGACCAGGCTACGTAGCGGTCGTCACAGGGTTACACCTTCAGCCTTGGTTCCGGTTCTGTCTCGTGGCGGTCTACTCGCTCGTCTTCGGTTCTCGGCTCCAGTTGTGAGGCTGAGATCTACGCCGGGGCCATGGCTGCATAGGAGCTTCGCTGGCTCACCTACCTGCTGACTGACCTTGGAGAGCCGCCTCGTTCTCCTCCAGTGCTGTACGTAGACAACAAGGCCATGCTGGCCTTGTGTCGAGAGCAGCGCTTGGAGCACAGAACGAAGCACATTGCTCTCCGCTACTTCCTTGCTCGTGAGCTGCAGCAGCGTGGTCAGTTGCGACTTGCGTACGTGGCCTCTGAGGCCAACACTGCTGATGTGGTCACCAAGGCACTTGCGCCTTGTGACCATCAGCGCTTTTGTACCCAGCTGGGTCTTGTGCCTGTCTTGCCTCACTTGCTCTTCTCTTGAGTTTACTTGTACTGTGACATATATATACCTGCTCTTGCTTGTCTTATTCTATATATATATGTCGGTACTCTTGCATGTGAACTGGCCTTTGGCCTTGCTCTTGTGCTCGGACTGTGTGGTGACTTTGTGATCCACCTTGAGCTTTGTTTTGCTTTGCTTGACTGGTCTTGTGACCCCTTGTTCTCCCCCACTTTGCCTATGGGGGTGTCTCAGAACATATCTATAGCTTATACTATTGTGTAGGCTGTAGTGGGGTATCCTATAGGGGGTACAACCAGTTAGGGTTTCATATTTGTACTTCATTCATTCATAGTTCACCCATTCCAGTTTACCTATCTTCACAGACTCTACCGAGTACGAAATCGAGGAGTCAGAAGAGTCGAAGCGACGAATCAACCGTCTAACAAAGACCGATGCAGGCAGAAACATTTGAAGTGAGAAGAGCGGGAACAGGTTCAAAACGGGTTCTCGTGCTGCACTGTATAAAATTGATGTAATAAGGGAATGTACCCCTCAAAGTACATGGCTAGTGTAGGTCTTTTCGTATTCCCCTGTATTCTTATATAAACTCAATGTACCGGTATGCATGTTATTATCAACTCAGTCATTTACATTCACTCTGACCTGAGATTCAAACTTCTGCTGCAACACTACTCTGCGATCAACCCTGAACGATCCTTTGCTAGGTCCCACTTGGGATTGTAGCAATACCTATGTTTTCCAAAATATTGGGCGGCTTTCGGTATTTAGGGTTGATCCTTCCCGGAAATCATCTAGGTTCGCTACGGGTTTTATATTTATTTGTTTTGCAAGCGTTGGATTTTTTTTAGTGACTGCATTAAAAAAAATACCGTATCGCCCCGGATATAACCCCAGGCCTATGTTAAGCGCATGCACTTCTATCTGGAGCAATGTGCTTATGGCCGATCCTCAATTAGAAGCGCACCCTCTAAAATAACCTTACTTATTATAAGCGCACCTTGCTGTATAGACAATAATGTCTGTTGTTTTTTTCACTTTCTTTACAACCTTCGTACAAACTACACTACTCTAGCTAAAAAAATCAACTAAAAATTCCAATCAAATACATTAGACTAGCATCCTAGCCTACACAACAGTTTTAAGTTTAGTCTAGCCTAAGGCCTACTCCTCATCCGACTCAGGCTCCGTGGAGTTGTTGCCAAAGAACCCGTCTGCTTGGATGTCGTCATCAACCTCTACCTCGTGGGATAGCTGACCTCTCCGGTGCGCCAGCACCAATCCGTCTTCACTCCCGTCAAGGGCATTGCTGATGCCGCAAGTGAGGAACGCTCTCTTAATCAGGTCGGCGGGCACAGCTTTCCACGCCCGTGAAATCCACTTGAGCACCACCTCCGGAGATGGTTTCTTAATGTTCCTGCACCACATACACGGGGGTGGGAAACACGTGGGTCCACAAGTAGGCAGACATACAGACGAAGCGGTCACGGGAGAACATTTTTGCGTACCTGCGGGTGTCAGGATGTTCATGCCGTCCTGCTCGAACCAGGTCTGGTACTGCTGCCGAACACTCGCCTTGAAGCTTTTGTTGACCGACACATCGAGCGGCTGCAAGTCTGCCGTGCATCCCGCTGGGATGACCGCCGGCACGATGTTGAGTTCTGCGAACTTCGCCTTGACTTCGGGTGTCAGGTGTCCACGATAGGAGTCGAGCACTAGCATGGCGCTCCGGCTCTGCAATCCGAACTTCGGTTTCAGGAACGGTACCACGCCTGCACCGAGCCACTCGATTACGCCCGAGGCCTCCATCCACCCGTTAGCTTGGCAACCGACCACGACATCTGCGTACAAGCAAGCGGTGGTTAGATTTTACTCTTTTTTTTTCCCCTCGGAAACAAGCGCATACGCAGTTTCTTACCGTTCGGAAAGTCACCCTTTGGGAGGGTCTTGCGCTTGAAAAACACCCACGGCTTCAACTTCTCGCCCGTCGCCGTGCACGCCAGCATCACAGTGACTCTCTCTTTCTGGTAACCACCACTGCGGATGGGCACCGACTTCACGCCCGTCTGCTCCACCGTGGTAGTCGCCGGCATCTCCACCCACAAAGGCGTCTGGTCGGCATTGATGATGTAACGATTGTCGATGTCGTAGTCGTGGCGTGCGTCGCGGACAAACTGCCAAAATTCCTTGCACTGCTTGGCCACGTCTGCGCACGGGGAGGGAGGAACGGTTACAAGGGCGGATGAGCACCGCTACAGATAAACAAACATGGGCAAGAAAGTACTGAAATGCAAGCTAAAATTTCACGATAGGATGACAGTGCACGCACAGGCACTTACGATGCCGTGTCTTTTGCGCCACCTTTGTTTTCATGCGCACGGTGAGATTCCACCGCTTGCGGAACCGCTTCGTCCAGCGCTGACTCGCCTTCCACTTGACGTCCGGGAACAACACCTTCATCACCTCTTTTGACCACTCTTGCAGCCGGCCGACTGATACTGCCACACCGCGGCGTCGCCAGTCCAGGAGTTGGGCGTACACCTTCATCTCCATGGGTCTGTACCAGGAAGACCTTCCGCGCCCATGAAGTCGACACCGAGCCCTATGTGCAGCCTTGAGCTCCTCCGCTTGGTTTTTCCACTCTGTGAGGCATTTGCGGTGTATGCCGGACTCTCGCGCGACCTCGCTTACCGATGTAGCAAGCTCCAGCCGAACAAGCCACTTCAGTTTCTCCTGGGCGGTGTAGCGCTGCCGTTTGTGTTGAGTCAGCTTGTGCCTGGGAGAGGGGGGGCGGGCATCACGGTTCTCAGAGGAGGGGTGGGGTCGTTTTTTGTTAATCGACGGATACGTTGGTATCGGCATCTTCTCGCGTGGTGCGTCGCACCACCAAGACTCCACACCGTCGTCGTCCGCGTCTGTAGGTTCACGATCTGGGAACACGTCCTCCTCGGCGCCCTCTTCACCGTCGACTCCAGCATCGGCGTCGCATATGGGTTGTTTATCGGCGGCCACGTCATCGTCGGCGCCCACAGCCGACTCGTCCCACGTGCAGGCTTCAGGATTTCCCCACCGAGGTGTAGTCGGTGAACCATTGATTTTCCTAGCCTTGGGTGTGTCCGGTTCAGACAACCACTCGTCGAAAGTGGCAGGCAAATATAACTGGAGCAGGGGCCGATGGTGACCCCACGCGTCAGGAACATGAGGAGTCGGAGGATTCGGAGGAGCGGGAGGAGCAGGAGGAGCAGGAGGTGCAGGAGGAGCAGGCGGAGCAGGCGGTGCAGGGGGTGTAGGTGGCACTGGAGGCGCTGGTGGCTCACGTGTATACCACTTGTCCGAGGTTAGTCGCCAGGCGCGGATTGGTTTCTTCTTGAAAAGGAGGTGCGTCCCACTGAATTCCGCCATGGCTTTGCCAGCCAGGCGGGCTAGACTAGAAACTGAATGAAAAAATGAGTAGGAGGGTGCAGAAATGGGCAACGACGGGGACCCCTGCGGGCTAGCGGCTCGGGGTCCTCGTCAATGACAGGCAGGAAACCCCTGCCTACCCCCGTAGAGGAACCTGCGTGGCAGCATATTCACTGCGCTGGCAGGGAATCTTCCCCACCCTTCGAGAGGGTTCGGATGAAATGCAGATGCCACGCAGCGCATGCGGTTGTGATTGGGCCGCACGGCAATATCCTCGTCATTCTTGTCACGTTCGATGGTTCTAGACAACTTTGTGCGGTGGGAAACCGAACCGCAGCTGTTTTTGCCTGAAAACCATGCACGATCCCACTTGTTCCATGGTCCGTTGGATTCGCCTTATTGCGGGCTTCAGTTTAGTATGTTTAAAAGTGAATTTCATTTTTTTCCTTATTATAGGCGCATGCGCTTATACAGACACCTCAATTAGAAGCGCACCCCCCCAAAAAACACTGTTTTATTATAAGCGCACCTTCGCTTTTATCCGGGGTAATACGGTAGTGAACAAATCTCCCCACTATATCGCGAAACCGTGTTTCTGTTGGTGATTACACCTGAGAACGCACTCAGGCAAATTTTGATTATCGGAGATAATGGCCGAAACCAACTTTCACAAAGGCAACTACACAAAGCTGAGTCACAAGAAAGTGCATTATCCTTCACCCTTTCTCAACCTTCTCTAGTGTCTCCTTGAGAATCGCAGCACACTCTGCATATGCCCCTTCCAAATCCTTTGCCAATTTCTGACTGCTCCGCCTTTGCTTCTCAACAATTCGTTCCACTTCCCCCTTCAGGCGTTGCTCCAATTCTTCCACTGACACCACTCCAGTCACATGAATTGCAGAAACCGCGACAAACTCTTCCAGGTGGCGAACGGCAGCCATTCCAGAAGCCATCACATCCACCAACCCATTGGCAGCAGCTCTCCGCACTTCAAACGTTTCTTCCCGTGTGAACCCCGACCAACGGGACCATTTAGCCTTCTTTCGCACTCCGCCATTTTCATCTCCCCCCAAGCCTGCCCCTTGATGAGAAGCTTCAGACACATCTGCATGGCGCCGCTGTCTGCATGCATTCCCTGGCAGGAAAACACGAATAGGCGCATGGATGACTGCCACATTCTATCAAAAAGGAGTGGGCCAATGGCGCAAGAGGTGGGGCGCCCTGGGGGGTGAGAAAAAACGAGCAAAGGGGAGCATCAGAACGGGTTGAGTGCCCTAGGAAGCAAAGGACGGGACATGGGAAGGAGCACATACCAGAAACGCGAGGATGAGTACGGGGAGTGATGCTGGGAGTCCTTGGAGCAGGGACGGTGGTAGCGGGTGAGGATGGCATTGCAAGGTCATCATCCTCCTCCTCCCCCCTTCCCTCCTCTTCCTCCCCTTCCTCTTCCTCTTCTTCCTCTTCTTCCTCTTCTTCCTCTTCTTCCTCCCCTTCCTCTTCCTCCGCCTCCTCTTCCTTCCCCTCCTCTTCCTCCCCCTCCTCTTCCTCCGCTTCCTCTTCCTCACTCCTCTCCTCACTCCCCTCCTCACTGCACTCCTCATTTGCATCACTTCTTTTCCTGACCTCCCAAACACCGTCCTCCTCATTCTCCTCCTCCTCTTCCTCCCCGTCTTCCTCCAATTCACTCCCCTCTTCCGGTTCATTCCCCTCCTCTGATTCGGCCATCCTCATCTCTTCTACTTCATCCTCATCCTCTCCCTCATCCTCTCCCTCATCCACTCCCGCATCCTCTCCCTCATCCTCTCCCTCATCCTCTCCCTCATCCTGTTCCTCCTCTTCCTCGTCATCATCAGTATCATCAGTACCATCAGTATCAGCAGTATCATCAGTACCATCAGTATCATCAGTATCATCAGTACCATCAGTATCATCAGTATCATCAGTATCATAAGTTTCAGAAGACCCGCTAACATATTCCCCACTACTCCAATCCGCTTCGTCCCCTTCCTCACTCCACTCCCATTCCTCCTCTTGCCTCCTCATCCCCCTCCGTCCTGTTCCTCTCTCTACTCGCCTATAGCTCTCCACTCCCCTGCCACTCTCCACTCCCCTGCCCCTCGCTACTCCCTTGCTCACACTCAGCCACCTCCCCATACTCAACCCCCTGCCCACACTCAACCCCCTACCACTACCTTCATCCCCTTCCTCCCTCCGCCTCTTGCCTTCCCCTCGCGTCACCCTCCGCCTTTCCATCTCCTGCCCCTTTCCCCCCATGCCCTCCGCCTCCGCCACCTGCTGCGCCTGCAGCGCCCTCAGCTCCCGCCATCTCCTCTTCATCCACGCACTCCGCGCGCGCCTCAGCGCATCGGAGCAAGGCTTTCGCGCCACTAAGCGCGGCCACTCCCCCCCCTGTTTCCTGCGGCTCTTCGCCCTCCTCTTCCCCTCAACCGCCTCCTCTTCTCCTGAGATCCCTCGCTTCCGCCTTCCGCCTACGGCTTTTCCCCCAAACGCATCTCTTCCCCCCCGCGTTTCTGTTCCCCCCGCCGCTTTTCTCCCACCCGCTACCTCTCTGCCCACCCCCCTCTCTCTTTCCCCCGAACCTACGTCTACAGCACGCATGGCTCCCCTCCCTTTTCTCCCTCCCCCTCCCGCCTCTCTCCCATTCTCCTCCCGCTGCCGTCCTGCCGAAACTTTCCCCTGCTCTCTCGCGCGCGGCATTTGCGTACCTTCTACCAAATATTCTTCCCCGTGCTCCTCTCTCCCCCTCAACTCGCTCCGTTAACCCGTTCCTCCGCTCCGGTCCCCGTCACCAACCTGTCTTTCCCGCCTTGCTTCCCGAGCTGCCTCCGCTCCCTTCGCGCTTATCACCTCCCTTGAGCAATGCCCGCCCTCGTTCCGTTCCGCCCCGCGCCGGGAACCGCGGGCGGGAAAAGCACCGCGTTCGTTACAAGATACCGCTGCTCCCAGCACACAGCGCGTTCGTGTCGCTAAAATGTTCGCCGTTGCAACGAGAACCACGGAATCGCTTTAAACCAGCGTGCGGGGAAGAGCGCACTGAGTCGAATGTGCAAATCTGGTCCTAAACGGGTGCTCAAGAATGGCAATCCCGGTAATTCGATGGCCATCTCCCCACCACACTGCAGCTACGACATATTTCCATGCACCCTATGAAGAGGCGACCAAACTAATCTACGAGCGATTCTAAGAGTAACCGAACCTGATCCAAGTCAGATTATAGCGTCCCCTAACTGGCTGGAGACCTCTCAGGAGCGAGCACTTAGGACGACTTCACGATGTATGCTGCTGCTACGGACGCCGTGCGCTACTACTGAATCACGTGGAGAAACAGAGGGTGGCGCTGAGTCATCGTCATACGCATTTGGGAATCGGAGAGCGTTAGTATAAGAGCGGAGTCTCTTATCAATTGCGCTCTTTGGTCATGGCGGAGGAGCAGGAAACAATCGCACGAGAACGATTCATTTTATTTGGAACTGGAAATCTGTCAACTGATCTGACATATCTGCATTACTGGTCCTTGCTAAAATGTAACGTATTTTTGGCAGACAACATTTAGAGTTCTCATTTACAGTAGCATATCTTAGGTATATCAGTTGCTAAGTTAAGCCCACAGAAAAGGGGGGGGAAAAAAACCTAACAGGCTGCCAAGGCTCAATACTCCCCCTAAGCTTACAGGCACCAAATCCACAACACACGAACACAGTGGCCACTGAACCAGGTCACATCATGTCCGGAAAGGTATTTCCCCGGTTGATATTCGAGCGACCTTGCGCCACCATGGCAGCACGGGCCTGCATCAACCCTGCCGGATGCAGCGCTTGATCCATTACTCCCCACCCAGACATGTCACAGAACCGGTTATCAACTTGCGCTGACGGCCCTTCGGCAGCGGCCGTGCGACCGCAACCACCCGCATAATAATGGGCATTCCTTCTGGCGATATCGCTTTGTCCGGGGACTACTTGCGTATCCTCCATCTCGTAATCAAACGGGTTGCTCCGCGGCTCATGTTGCCCTAACTTGCTCTGCTGGTGCCGTCTCGACAACCGGGACTGAACCCCTCCGCCGGGCCCGCTGCTCACTTCATCCTCGCTATCGGAACTTCGCTGTTGGCTGTAAGCCGCGTCTGGCTGAGCCTGAACGCTGCTCTCACACGCAGCACCAAACGGACCGTTGGCACGAGGCAGGGAAGCGCCGGAACGACGCGCGGAGCGGACGCAATCCAGCGAGCTTCGTCGGAGTGATGGGTCGTCGTGAGGCGCGTACATGGCTGCATAATCATTGCCGGACGGGCCACCTTGTTCCTCTTTAACCGTGGACTGTCTCCCCGCAGCAGAGCTTCGGCGGTGAGACGGCCGTTCAAGCTCCTCCAACTGAACGGACTTCCGTCGCGGCATAGCGGCTGGTGACGGAATGTCTTCTTCCATCGGAGCAGGTGCCTCGGACTTCTCTGGCGAAGCGAAGGTTGCCATCGCCTTCTGCAGCTCTAGGCGTTGCCTTTGTGAGCGGTCTTTAGCGAGGAACCGAAACATGATTGCTATTTGTTTCTAAAGGGGACGAGGGGAGAATGTAAAGAATAAAGCTATCCCACCGCCGACTAGGCCTGCAAAATGCAGATCTTAAGAGGCCAATAAATTGATGAAATGTTGCTAGTTAAGCACGGTTGGGAAATTTGACTAAGCTGATGGTGATTACTAGAGAGTTCTAGCACCAAAATAAGTAGTAAGGAAATCGACAAGCGAAGTGGGGTTTACTGATTTCGCCAGAGAGAATCGGCCAAGGGAGAAGAGGGTCTCTCAGTAAGCCACAGCCGCAGAGGTAGACAGGTTAGCGTAGTGCCAGAGGCCCACACACGGGCACAGGTAGCTGGCGCTGGCAGGATGAGGTGGCTGAAGGTGGCCGAAGGGGTTTCGAGAAAATCAGGAAATTCGGTGAGGGGTTGGCTGGATGCTTGCTGGGTTTGTCGTTGCGGAGGAGATATCAAGGGTTTCGTTCTGTTCCCTAGAGACATGCCACTGGCGGAGCATGTCCGCTCTGCTGCCGTTGTGATGCGATTTCGTGACGGTGTAGCACGTGACGGGGAATGTGATGGGAAGTCAGCGAATCCTCTCAGCAAATCGCCACTAATCAGCGGTGAGCTGGCGAGCAGTCGCAATGAACGGCTGCAATTCTTTTACGGAACATCGACGGTTGTGTAATGCAGGATTTGTGTCGAGATGCTTCGTAGGAACTGCTGTGGTTCTGCCATCCAAACTATTCGCTGCCCGTTCCCAGGTGGGTTAATCGATACTGATTCCATTAGACCTGGCAAGAAAATGCTGCAGCCGTGGCTTCATTGTGAGCACCCACGCCAACAAGTGCAAGATAGGCACAGATATTTGCCAATTCACGGAGGTTCTCAGAAATTAAAATAGTGGGATCGCACCAGCAATAAACACGGTCAGGAGTGAAAGCAAGCTGGCAGAAAGAAGTCAACAATAACCAAGGGAGCTTTTGCGAGAAAATGAATTGAGCTGCTTCCAGCATGTTACAAGGTGTTACGGGTGCAATGAATCGAGGTAGCGAGAATTGCACTAAGGTGTCAAACGAGCACAAAATGTGAGCGAAGGCATGAGCGAACATTTATACGCGAAACATGCAAAACGGTAACGCGGTGCGTGCGAGCTTGCTAGTGCTACGCTGGAGCGAGGCTCGGGCTAGTCCCGGAGCGTAGGCCGATACGGCCATGCCAGCAGTGCGAGGTTTGGCAAAACAGTGCGCGCGAAGTCGGCGAAGTTCCGTTAGCAGTAACGGGCGAAGAATCGGCTGTTGCTGTACGCGATGTAGTCGGCTCCGTAAGGAATGCCGAGAAAAATCCTTACACTACCCCCCCCCCCTTAAGAAGCCCCCTCCGCTACGCGAGTGCGTGTATATCGCGGAATCCCCGGCTCCTCAGGTACACTTGCAGGGCACAGTGGTTTTCGATGTTGGTCAGGGGCACCCAGCTGTCTTCAGTTGGCGTGCGGTCCTTCCAGCGAACGAGGAATTCAATCCTCCTGATTCCCGTGGGGTGGCGGATCCGATGGCTCGGGATTTTTTCGGGCTCGATGATCGGCTCCGATGCAGGGCGAGTCATTGATTGTGGGCGGTGACGCGGCAATTGACTTGTGGTCGGGATGTATGGGCGAAGTAGGCTGACGTGGAACGAAGGGCTGATGTACCAGTCGGTTGGCAACAGTAGGTGTGCGGTGACGGGTGTGATCATGTGACTGATTTGGAATGGTCCACAGTAGCGCGGTCGTAATTTCGGTACGTCGGGCAGTCGCAGATTTTGCGTGTCGAGCAGCACAGAATCTCCAGATTGGTACGTGACAGGGCGGCGGTGGCGATCAGCG